TCTTCCAATCAAAGCGAGCTTCTTCCAGAGAACGCAGTGCAGTGGATTCGCACCAGGGTCAGTAGACCTACGCTTTCAGCAGCAGCGGCGAGCCCCCCACCAGCTGTTCTATTTCTTCCTCGGCCAAATCGCGCAGCGCCAGCTGATCGCAGCCTCGATCTGTTGCGCCATTCACTCCAGCGTGCCTCCGACCACCAGGAACGGGTACCTGCTCACCAGATCGCACCATCACTGCTTTGGATCGAGCAAGGACAGCACCAACATGAGCTTTCGCCAGTCGCAGCCGCTTGAAGCAGCACCTCCTGCGCCCGAATCTGGTGAGTGCTGCTGCCAGTCATAACCGACTTATTCCATTGAGACTAATTGAAGGCTAGTAGACTTGGTTTCGACATCGATCAAGCAAACTCCGGCAAAAAAAAAAAAAAAAAAAAAAAAAAAAAAAAAAAAAAAAAAAAAAAAAAAAACAGAAAAAAAAAATTATTGCCCGAGTCACAGTTTGTGTCAACCATTACTGAGCGGAGTCAACGATTTTCAAGTGAACAAGAGCCATTTCAAAAATCAGATTGAAAATGCACTGAAAGATTTGCAGCGACTGAGAACTTCAATCACGGCTCTGCTTTCAAGCTCACTGGCGGCGGCCCCTCAGGGGATGGTTGGTCAAACTTTTGCATCTGTACTCTCTGGCCAATCTATCCGACCGAAAGCTGTTGAGAACCTCATATCTTTCACCTCCGTTGATACAAATAAAAGGTTATCATCTAAAACTCCTAGCAAATTTAAGGGTTTTCCTGCTATATATATATATAATCCTAAAGCAAAATAATGTGATTTGACACTCTATTATTTGAGTATTCTACTTTATCTTTTTTTAGAAATTTTTGATTTTTTTTATTCTTCTATGTTTTGATTGGATGGTTATTTTTTTTTAATTTTTTAATTTATAATATTTAGATAATAGCAATATATTTTGAAAATAGCAATATATTTTGAAATCTAATCTAATTTAACAACAATTCTATTTTATTTGGTATTTGATTTTCATTTTTTAAAAAATTTTGAAGATTTTTTATTGAAAAAGTTTTAGATTTTTTCTTTATTTTTTTTATATTTTGATTGGATGGTTTTATGTATTTTAATTTTAAAATTAATATTTAGATAATAGCAATATATTTTGAAATCTAATATAATTTAACAAGTATTCTATTTTATTTCGTATTTGATTTTCATTTTTTCAAAATTTAAAAAATTTTGAAAATTTTAAATTGGAATTTGTGGATTTTTGTTTATTTTTCTATATTTTGATTGGATGGTTATATGTTTTTTTAATTTTAAAATTAATATTTAGATAATAGTAATATATATTGAAATCTAATCTAATTTAACAACTATTCTATTTTATTCGATATTTGATTTTCATTTTTTCAAAATTTAAAATTTTTAAAGATAATTTTAAAATTTTTAAAGATAATTTGGCTTTTGAAAATTTTTAATTTTTTACCTATATCTATATCTATATATAATCATAGTTAGTGGGTTATGGTTACTGCTTTGCTTTCTTTCTTTTGTTAGTTTGTTGTATGTTGATTTTTTTTTTTCTTTCTTTTGTATAGTGCTTCAGGTAGTGTACTACATATATTTTTGCTTACATTCACAATCCAATTATCTTATCACAAGTAAGCATCAATTATCACACTCCTAATCAGACTCAATAGCCTAATCAGACTCAATAGTATTTCCAAGAAGAGTTTTTCACTTCCGTCATCATTCCTACCCGGCAATGATATTGAATCAAAATTATGCATGATTTGCAGTTATATGCTTAAAATTGTTCCATTTGACTTTAAAGCTGCGATTCTTATTTTTTTAAAATCTCGATTTGTATCGTTGTTTAAACATCGATTTGTTTAGAATGCACCCATCAATTTATTTTTTTTTAGTGTTCTTTGTTGCCTTTATTAATTATTAGTACTCAAAAATTTATATCAGTATGAACTCTTTCTATTTGAACTCTTTCTATTTTTCAGTATAGCTTCGAGTAGAAAAGAAAGGTTCCATATGTGCTAAGTTGATACTAATATAAATTTTCACATTTACAACATTATTAAGAAGCTGGTCGGAATTAATATATTCTATCTTTTCTTCTATCTTCAAAGGCAAAATCGTTTCCTTTGATTGTGGTGATGTTAAACGATTTAATTTTTTTGATGTATAAACCTAACCTTGCTGGATCGGCTGAATTTCTCAAATCGTTGAATGAAGTGATCATGAATGCAAAATATGGTCATTGTTCCATGTGTATATATATTCTAGATTTTATATTTTTAGAAGAAATTATTAAACAAGTTAAACAAGACCTTAATTTAGTTTTTCATTTTTTAAAACTTTATATGTAATGAAATATATTTATTGGTTACACCTTATAAAAATAAATTTAAATTGGTTCACACTAAATTAAAGAAGATTTTTTTTTATTTTTGTTAACACTAATTAAGAGATTTTTTTTTATTTTTTGTTAATTTATTAGTAAATGCAATTTATGAAGTATAAATTATAATATACTAATAAAACAATCCTTTAAAAAATAATAATAAAGCAATATGCGCCATACACGAGCTTTCACCTAGTTATCAATGTACCTTTAACACAGGACATATGCTTCTTTATATAGAAGTTTGGAAGACTGTATATGGACGGTTGATTATGAATATTGACTTTTTTACATAGTACGTATTATTTGTAGAGTAGCACTTGTCTAATAGCTCATTTTGATACTGACTTTAGATTGCTTGGTAGCTAGGGTCTGAGTAGGGATGGAACCAGTGCGGGTATTTTAGGGTATCTGTCCGCTCCGATCCATTTAAAGAGGATATGGATAGTTATAAATGGGTTTGGGATGGATACGGATAGTGAAATTACTACCCGTTATGGATACAGGCAGTGTACGAGTATAGGTCTTTGGATACCTAATACTCGATACCCGTTACCTTGGTAACCTCTACCTGTTATCCGGGTACCCACGGGTATCCTATCCATTATTAGTAAAAATTGTATTTTAAATAAGTTTAGATTTAAATAATTTAAATTCGCGGGTACCCTACCATATAACGGTATTTTAAACGGGTATGGATAATAAAAATTTAAACAGTTTCAGATACGGGTACTTAAATAGATATTTAAACAGGTTTAAAAGGAATATGGATAATAAAATTTTAAATGAATATGGGTACGATTAGCTTAAAATCTGAATAGCGGGTAGCTTAAAATCCGCGGCTACCCGCCCCGCTTTCATTCCTAGATCTGAGCCGGGCAGCTGCTTTTTTGTTGTCTTGGACTTAGGCCACGCTTGGTTGGCAATTTTGATTACAGTTGGTAATAATTTTATATCTGCATATTACTAATATATATTCATTTTTATCCAATAAATTAACAAATTTTTCGTTTGACAATTTCAAGATTTTAGCTTGCAAATATTTCATATATCTCGTAAACCAATTAAGAAACAGAAGTTCTTTAAACGTTTTTCATATCTCAATATTTCTACAACAATTATAGTTCAAAACTTCAAAATAATCTTATTTCACTTTAAAATATTTATTTTAAGAATACCTTTTATTTAATATTTGAAATTCTAATTAAATAAGCATGCTTTGAATTCATACGAGTTAAAAGCAGGTTTGAAAATTGCTAAGTTAAATTAAAGTTCTTCATTGAACGTAATATTATATAATCAAATGTATTTTTAGTATAAACATTATATAATATTATAAATAATTTAATTAAATTACATTCTAATAATAAGTTTTAATAATAGCTAGTGTCTGTGTTTATACTATTGAATAATCTTTAATATAGCCTAGATCTATTATTCATAGAATTTGTTTGATAGAAATAGACAATAAGCGGAAGCAAATTTGTTTGATAGAAATAGACAATAAGCGGAAGCATACCCTGATCCATAACAACAGATCTATGTTATGGGTTATCTCGTTGCGGCAATTCGATTTTCACCGTAATATCAACTCAAACTCTTTTTTTATTGGTGGTGTGGGCTCATGCCCAACTATACAAATTTTGCGCTGTAAATTACTTGCGTAGACTCGGTCTATGACCCGGATCATACTAACGAAACTATGACTTTTTTATTTATATGGTTAAAATATCCTCATTTCAATAAAAATCTTTAATTTCATTAGTTTGATCAATATACGGAGCCACAAAAAAAGTAAATTTTTCCATTCAAGCTGGACAAGACTTAAAGGCAATTAATTATAAAATTTTATAGGGTTCAGATAATTGATTGCAATTTTTTTTTTTTTTTTTTTTTTTTTTTTTTTTTTTTTTTTATTGAGAAGAGATATGAAATTTTAAAGGTTGAGAAATTAAATTTATAACTATCTCCGTTATTACCAAGCTTGTAACTTTATGATTTTCTGGCCAATACCAGATGACTGAAGTCTTCGAACAATTCCTACAATGGCATAGTGACAGAAGTTCTTGTTATTACTTTGTTGTCCGAAGAATCAGGGATCTGACTATTCCATTCTCAGATTGAAAGGTCTATTTTTTGGACAATTTAATAAAATGACATGAGATTACTCTCAACATATACAATTCTACAGGGAATTGTTAAATTTAATTTATGAAACTGTAAATGGTTAAAGTTGAAGTATAATTACAGAAAGCGAATAGACAGGGAATTGTTAAATTTAATTTATGAAACTGTAAATGGTTAAAGTTGAAGTATAATTACAGAAAGCGAATAGACAAACATATGAAGTAAATTTATGTTTTAAACTATCACATGTCTAGTTGCTTGAACACTGGAATCATAGCAACTCATTAGGCTGAGCGTTGCTTTAACCATTGACTTGAACTCTGTTTGACTTGAACTCATTGCCCACACTTTTCCTTCCTGTATGGTAGATATCTCCTTAATTATTTGAATCCTTTCTTTCACCTCTTGATGATAGCTAAGACAATGAATAATCATCTTGAAATCAATGGATAAGATGCTAGCTATTACTATCATATTTGGTATATTGATATTGTGTTCTTCAGTTCTTCATTCCTTCGGTAGGGATATTATCTCAGAGCGCAATGGGCTTAGAGATGGAGAAACTCTTGTTTCATCCGGAAAAAGATTTGAACTGGGGTTCTTTACTCCTGCAGGAAGTTCTGATAATCGAAGATATGTGGGAATCTGGTATTATAAAACATATCCAACAACAGTTGTGTGGGTTGCCAATGGAGATTCCCCACTTACAGAAACTGGTGGAGTTTTTTCTGTAGATTATGGCGATCTTAAGGTATTGGATAAATCTGGAAAACTTTACTGGCACACAAATCTTGATGGACCTTCAAATCCAAAATTCCATCTGGACGCGAAGCTCATGGATTCTGGAAACTTGGTTTTGAGGAACCAGTCGAAAGTGAATATATGGCAAAGCTTTGAACAACCAACTGATACATTTATTTCGGGTATGAAGATGCACGACAACCTTACGCTGACCTCATGGGCGAGTCAAATTGATCCAAAACCTGGAAACTTCACATTGAAGCGATATCAAGAAGATGTGAATCAACTCATCATCAATCGAAATGGCTATATCGCTCATTGGAGAAGTGGGGTTTCAGGTGAATTTTTTCATTCTGATGAACTACCTTATGCAGTACACAACTTGTTATTCAACAAAACTTCAAGTGCACCCTCGATTTATAATAGTATAAGGGTTGTGATTAATTTTACTGGGGAGATACAGTTTTGGGGCTTGGATATGGATGAAAATAAATGGTCTTTAAAATGGAGGAATCCAATGGAGCATCTCACATCAATGTTAACCCCCCTCCTACGTAGCCTTTCTTTAGAAGGAAGAATACCCCTCAAAGCTCTCCACATAAAATCTTTAACTTTTGGGGGGACATTTAAGCTCCACAAAGATTTCCACCACTCTCCTCCCACACCATCAACCCCCCTGCCCCCTACCCTCAAAGCCACATCATAGCCACTCTTGACCGAATAACACCCCTTTTTATCAAAATGCCAAATAATATGATCCTGCCTATTAAACAAACTTAGTGGGATTTTTAGAATCGTTTCAACATCCCTCGGATGGAAAAGCAAAAGAAGCTTCTCAATGTCCTATACTCTTTGTCTGTTTTTAACAAGCTCACACACTTTCAAATTTTCATCGATCCACCCAAATTCATTATTCACAAAAAAAAAAATTCTCATCTCTCGGCAGCCAAGTGTCTTTCACTATACTGATGTCCTCACCATTACCTACTCTCCATCTAACCCCACATTTTAACAATCCATGAGTAGACACAATACTATTCAAAATGAAACTAGGACTTCTCCCTAGCTGAGCCTCTAGAAAATTCCCATAAGGAAAATATTTAGCTTTGAAAATCTTATAAAAAAGAGTATTGTTTTGGGTAAGCAACCTCCAACCTTGCTTCCCAAGCATAGCTAAATTAAAACTATGGAGATCTTTAAAGCCCATCCCCCCTTCCATCTTCTTCCCACACATCCTATCCCAAGACCACCAATGGAGACTTCTACTACCTCCCTCCTTCAAACCCCACCAAAATCTATTAATAATTTTTTGAAGGTCATCACAAATAGCCATAGGTAACAGAAATACACTCATGCCGTAAGAAGGAATAACTTGAGCTTGTGAATACTCAAATTTTGAGGCTCAAAAAGCCTATTTTTCGGGACTGCAAACAGTCCGGTTGGACCGGAGGCTATTCGGAAAGTTCACCGAAAGTATGCCAATATGGTACGTAAAATGTCCGGAAAATTACGAGGATCACGGAACTGGTCCTGGAATATTTTTTGGAGGTACGGAACTCCCGAAAAAGCCGTTGGAACGTAAGACTAGCGAGTGGACAGGATTAAAAGACTTATAGCGAGTGGACAGGATACGGCGGCGGCGGCGCCCTCCAGCCCGGATTTTTGCCTATAAAAAAAATCAGCCCCGGGCACTCAGTTTTACTCACTCAGTCTGTGTTGATGGACGCTCCTTCTCTCCCTACGCTCCTTGCGATTCTTTTACTGCTTTTCTGCATTTTAAGTATAGCCTTTTTATTACTCTGCTGTTGTGGATACTTGCCCACTTAAAATTAATTAAATTATTAATATTAAAATCGGAGTTTTTTCAAGCTGAAGCTAAAGAAGCGGTCCGCCGATTAACTCAGAGTAAATAACGAAACTCTGCTCATTTAATTTAAGCACTTCATGCATATTTCTCTTCTACTCCTAAACTCTACAACTGCAATAAATGCCATTCATGTCATCAAAATTAGAGGCAAATAAAACTGCCTCAATCAAATATAGATTAAGCTTAAAATACCGGTTAATTAATAATCGTGGTATTAAAGCCTAAATCCCGACATATGGCTTAAAGTATCGGTCAATTAATAACTATGGTATAATCGCCTTTAATTTCGAACAGTCCGGCTTAAGTCCAATTAATCAATAATTGGTGGGCTAAATAGCTCAAGT